CGGGAGCCTGGGGAGAGAGCCTCTGGAACGTGCAGCCCGTGCACTGCAGCCCCAGCGCCTTTGGCCGACTCCTGCATCGCAGGCCTGCCTCTTCTCTTCTTATGGGCGTCCAAAAGCGACGTTAGGCATTGTGCACCGCCTTCAAACCCTCCCCTGCGGCTTCAAACCCTCCGCAGCGCCTTCAAACCCTCCGCAGCGCCTTTGGGCCTACTCCTGCACCGCAGCCTTGCCCTCTTCTCGGCAGCAGGCTTGCCTCTTCTCTTCTTATGGGCTTCCAAAAGCGACGTTAGACATTTTGGACTGCCTTCAAACCCTCCCCAGCGCTTTCAAACCCTCTGCAGCGCCTTCAAACCCTCGGCAGCGCCTTTGGCCTACTCCTGCACCGCAGCGTTGCCCTCTTCTCGGCAGCAGGCCTGCCCTCCGCAGCGTTCAAACCCTCCCCAGCGCGAAACCCTCTGGAACCGTACACTGCAGCCTTAGAACTGACCTCTGGAACCTGCCACCTCGGCCTGCACCTCGTTTCTTTGGGGTCCTCCAGGCACCGTCAAACCCTTCCCGGCACCTTTGGCCTAGTCCTGCAACACAGCCTGGCGCGGCTCCCGTTTGCCCGGTGGTTGCGTGGCTTCCGGATGATTGGTCTATACTCTATTTCTTTGTTTCGTGCTTGCGCTCTTGAACTTGCCACGTGTTTTTCGGGCATGGTTTTCCCGCTGGCGTGTTGTGTTGGCACCGAACGCGCCCAAACAACTGTGATGACCAGACCACAGTCTGGCACGCTGGGCATGTGTGCGGATGCTGCCGCGTCTGCGTGCTAACCGTGCCTTCTTTCACACAGAACTGGTTGCCGCACACGGTTCGGTGATCTATCTGCCCTGTCCTCACGTTACTTGCCACAGTTCCATTGCAAAATGGACATGCAAAATGGACACGCACAGCACTTGGGCTGTCCAACAAGGCCCCCGCGAACAGCTGCCAGTCTATTAGCACAGCCAGAACAGAGGCATTGCTATTTCGTTTTCTTCTTTTTCTTCTTCTTCTTCTTCTTCTGCTTCTTCTTCTTCTGCTTGCCATTCTCCAGCCACGCAGATAGACCTG